AAGTGACGATGTGCATGAGGTATGTAATATATGAAATGTAGATTCGTTTGCAAAGCAATCACATAAAATTCGAATGTTAAGTATGTAAGAAAGAGTGGAAGTACTTTTGTTGAAAACGAGCAACAACTGACAACTACGACATCACACTTCTCAATGAAATCAACACTGAAGCTTGACAAATCACCTGCAACAACAATTTATTCTTCTCAGCATTTCAATATTAGTTCCTATCCTAACATTTAGAATCAACATGAAGCATTATTCCAATGGATGGCAATGGTTATAAAGGATAAACAATAGCATGACTCACTCCAATATCCATCAAGTAATCATGTTGTGAACTAAACACCCAAGATGGATAATCAAATGTAACTAGGAGTGCATGACAGAAGTTAGGAAATACACCTATTAAATAGAATTTAAACAAAATCATGCACAAATTTAAGCAGCACGTTTCCCTTATTGAACGTTAAGAACTTGTAAAACCAAGGAAGATCCATTCAACTGCTCTCTACTTACCAGAATATTCTTATCCTTATCCTTCTCCTTTCAATAAACAAAACCTAGATTAACACTAAGAAAACAAAACTGCTAGCAAAATGCACAAGAATGAAATATAAGCATGCTCCTGCTTGTGCCCTGGCATAAATTCATACAAGCCGGTGTGGCGCTTGAACATACCGATAGCTACACTCTTGCTCGAGTAGACAATATGAAACTTGGAGTGAGAAATATGACTTAATAAGATAAGCCAGCCATTCTCAAAAGGCATGCACAAAATTTCTTCCCTACTTTTAAATTTGTTTTCACTCATAAGTCAGCTAATAGCTATTCAAACATAAGATGGCAGATAAGTTAGACCAGCAGCCAACCTTTCTGAACACAAACACGAACTATAGGATTGAAATCTTTCAAGGAATCACAACAAAGCTCGGTAAGAGATTACCCAGCATACACATTGTCATCGCAAGGAATCAAAAAATTGGCTGCCAATAATTCCTCAATCACTACACGATCATCAATCAACGTCACACTACCTACTCCTGCTAGCACGATATTATTGCAGAACTACAACATAAAAATAATAATCTAATATATCTGCTAGCTATATATAATAATTTCCCAACCTTAACAAACACCCATACATATACTTTGAGCAGTGTCCATATAGACATACAAACGATTATCAAGGAAACCAGTAACAACTTAGAAATGGGTGTTTTAATAAAAGTGAAACAGCAAGCAGCCCCTTTGGCATACAATTCATTGAACATCACAGTCAAAGTAGAAGCCATAGGTGGTGAGGCTCGAATGACCTTGCTAAAAGCCCACTTTTTTAGCCCAGAAGGAAAATTCTCGCTTTTGAAAGTCATACTAATGGTCATGGACGGACCCACATGGGGTCATGTGGGGTCAAGTGATCCCATAAAATGTTGGTTTTTTTCCCCCTCCAATAAATACATAGTTATTTTGAGCCCTTCACGACCAGATACAATTTTTCTCAAAAATATATTATGTGAAAAACCTTGTAATTGTCCTTTTACGGCCTCCTTTGACGCACTCATTACGGGATGTCAAATAAAGTCGAAACATTGCATTCTTAATATCAGTTTGAATTTCTCACGACCTAGTTTCTTACTNTACATAGTTATTTTGAGCCCTTCACGACCAGATACAATTTTTCTCAAAAATATATTATGTGAAAAACCTTGTAATTGTCCTTTTACGGCCTCCTTTGACGCACTCATTACGGGATGTCAAATAAAGTCGAAACATTGCATTCTTAATATCAGTTTGAATTTCTCACGACCTAGTTTCTTACTATGGCGTACGAAATGGTCAATCGTAGAAAAAGCTACGATGCATCAAAGTAGGTTGTTCCAAATTAGTATTTCGAGAATTTCGATAATTTGCTAATTTTAAAAATTCGCAGACAGTCGTACGCTAACCGAATCTACAAATCACCTACGTCGTCTAAAAGCTTGTTTCGAGAATTACATCATAATCATATCGAATGGTCTAAACGGGTATCAAAAATAGTTAAACATGTGTCAAATGTACGTATCAAAAAGATACGTCTAAATCGTCTTTTCTTTTAAAAAAAATTAATTATTTCATTATCATTTATTATTTTTGTACAATAAAATTTTCGATACAATTTCCATAATTTTATTAGAAAATTTTACATGGAATATGACATAGAAAATTTAGGATCAGTATAGATTAAATGTAATTTGAGTTACTTTCGAATTAAATTTGAATTTTATTTCAATTCATTTACTTCCTATATTCAATTTAATTTACCCCCCGCCCGCTTAGCATTTGCCAACGAGATGGTAAACAAAACTATACAAGTAGCAAAATCTATTTGACAATAATGTAATTATACGACCTTTTAAAAGTATCAAAACGAGTATTAACTTATTTTCATTAATAATATGTTGCATTTTAAAAAAAAATTGCATTTAATTTTTGACCCCACAACACAAAAAGTCTGGATCCGTCCCTACTAATGGTTGTCTAAAAGATGGTTAGTTTGACATTATTTTAAAATCTCATATTGGTCTTTCCAACAAGAAACAAAATTTGAGGAAGATTCATACTCAAATCAATACTAATAATAGTATTTTTACAATTCTATAACACTAATTGAGGTAATAATATTGACCAAACTATTATTATACAATTCATAGAAGCTAATTGAGGCACTTAATTTGCTGCAGCCCCTCTTATTAAATGCATTGTTACATAAAACCTGAGCAGCCTTCTTCTCTGGTGGTACTTGATGGGATCCTATTCAAATCTAAGCAAACCAAAAAAATGCTGAAAATACATAATTCCAACCGAGCAGTTCCCTTGGAGTACTAACGTGGGTGATCTCGACAATCACGTCCAGTTTTCGCATTTCTTGAACTGTTCAAATTTATGATTTTGAAGTCATATGTTATAGTGTTGCATCCACATCAAGCGCGCTTGAACTTGTATTGGCTTCTTGAAGTTCATATAATTTGGCCTCAAATAAAGAACGAACAAATAAATATCTCAGAATTGAAAAGCAGCAGTGTTTTTTCAGTTATTAAGACCAAAGCTAAAATCACATTCTTAAGATGCTTACTTTCTTTTGCAGATGAAGGTTCTCTTCTTGCAGGTCCCGCTGCTGCATTTAAGAACACAAATATATCTCGTTTCAGGCGTTTTATACTAATTCGAGTATGTAAATATGGATAATTCTTTCATTATTGAAAGAGGTGATTCTGGTGCGTATTTCATGTACTTTTCTACATTAGTTTGCCTGTTGTGTTCGACGCATTGTAAGGATTTTAATGGAACATGTGGACTTATATGTGAAATATTGTGCATTAAATTAAAGTCTATTAATTTTGGTTAAACACATTTAAAGTGATCTAATAAGGTTTCGATATTTTGGGTTTTGAAGCATCTAATTAAAGTATGGGCTTATATGAGTAAAGACCGGGCCTATTCCTAATTCCATGATGGGCCGAATTAGGTCTGATTTTGAAGTATCTAATTAAAGTATGGGCATTTATGTGTAGAGACTAGGTCTGTTCCTAATTTCATGATGGCCCGAATTAGGTTAATGCGTCGTTAGTATATATATATATACAGTTATGGTCTCAGATCAATTGTTTATTCTGTTCTGACTCCCATCATCAGAGAAAAGTAAAGAACTACGTGTTGATCTGAAAGATTAAAACCGCAGGATTCATTTATTACGATAATCATGTTTGATTTAGATAGCTTCAATTTACAAATTCTCGATGATCCAACATGAACGATGAATATGACGGTAACGAATTTTCCCAACACGCTGCACGCATGACAATTTAACATTTTATGTCAGAAATAAAAATGCACATAGATCATTTTGTGACATTTTTATTTTCTTATCTCATTTTTTTTTTTTTATTTGTGGAAATTTATAGAATCGGTGCAGTGTGTCCTATACAAGGATCAAGTTAAGAACCTCACCTTTCTCTTCAGATAACTGATTTGTTCTGCAATGGTGCGCCTCTATGAATTCACATAATACGTATTGTCAGATCAGCAATTCAACATCATAACAATTGTTTTTTATTCTAAATGGAAACATGTTCAAATTAGTTACCTTCTTAGAGCGAACGCGCTCAACCCCTATTCTTAGTTGGCGTTCTAATTGTTTCAAGTCTTTCATGCCTAGCGCCGACAGATTTTCTCCGGCTAAATGCCTACAAAATAGAATCAAAAAGTCGACATAAATGGAAATTGTCATACTGCACTGTTGGTTGAGAATTGCATAGAATACACACATATCTCTTGCTTCCAAATCTTGGACTGTTTTCTTTAAGTCATCAATCTCATTTCTCCAAACCTGAAAAGCAGCGACAATTTTTACTTCTTGGCAATTTATACTTTGCAAGGCACGAGAAAGAATTACTTTAGTGGCATGTCTCGTATGCTGGACTGCACAACATTGGACTAGATCATTGCAGAAAGGTGCAAGCCAGTACAATATACCAAACATGGACTAAACGTCCTTAACTAGTAGATACCTCCATGGTTCTTATGCCTTGATCATCTGATTTAGGTAATTCTACTTCATTTTTGTACTTTGCAATTGTCCTCAGCATGCTGCAAACCATAAACCATATGACACAAATTGCATGACTTTATACAGACAATCATGCACAAATTGATAAACGTGTCCCCTCTACAGATCCAGTTCAAGTTTTTTGCTAGACATTGATGAAAATTTTGCGCCTGTAAAGCCTTTGAACGAAAAAATGTATATGGTTTACATGTGAAGAAGCACATTGCAGACTAAATTTAAATAAGTAAATGTGTCCATCTCTAATGATTTAATCTTTTAGACAAAGTAGTTCGACTCGGTATTGGAATAAGCACGAGCTCTTAGTAAAAGTCTCGGCTATCTTGCCTCTTCCAAATTAATTAAAGTTTTGGTATATGACTGGCTTTTGATAAAAAAATAAGGAATATGAATTGTACATGAGAGAGCGTATTGAAGGTTAAATTTACATAAATAAATGCATCAATTTCTCTAACGACTCAAGCTTTTAGACTATACCGTTCGACGCTCACTCTCTCACACATAAGGTGTGCATCGTGGTCAAGTTCGACTGGACGCCAGACTTCCATGTCTATTGAAGACAATTGAAAATGAATGAGACAACTTACTCATGACTGGAAAATTGGAAAACCTTTCCAGAGGGAGAAAAAATCAGAAGAGCAACCTCAGCATCACAGAGTACTGATAATTCAAAAGCTTTCTTCAGCAATCCATTTCTTCTCTTTGAGAATGTAACTTGTCTGCTTGAGGGATTCTCAATTCTTTTCAGTTCTACTTTTCCTCTCCCCATGTGGAAAATTTTTCCCTCCTGGGAAAACTGTTTTCCTCTCCAGAAGAGCTTCAAAATATAGAAAAAAAAATAAACAAAAGAAAAGGCAAAAGCAAAGCATGTTCAAAATACTCTTGAAGGGGTAACCTATATATAACAAGGCCATGCATGTTATGTAAAGATAATCTCATGGTGTAATATCCACCAAGAATGAGACCTTGACAACAATTTAGATAAATACTTTATGAAATGACACGGCTTTCGAGTTCTAGTTGTTTATTATTAATATTTTTTTCTGGTTATTAATCAAGTTTTGATTAAATTGGGTTTTTAGTTAAAGTAATTTGACCTTATTATTAGGGTAAATAAGGTTTTAGAAATTTCTTAGCCCGTGTTTGTTGAGGATTAAAATTAGATTTTTAGTAGATTTTGATAGAAGTTGATAAAATATGTATTTGAAAAGTTCTGGGTCTCATAAAATGTATGGTTAAAATTAATTGTTGACTTCGACTTTGATTAAAATCTGAATTTTAATTTTCATCAAACATGGACTTAATGTCATTTAACCCTGGTTTGGTGGCCATTTTCTTAGAAAAATAATATTTTTAATAGTTAATTTTCGGAGAATGTGTTATTATAAAAATGAGAAAAGTTTTGAATTTACGTGTAGAATATTTTATTGTGTGAATATGTGATTGATAATGAGTATATAGAAAAAAAGAATTTTGAAAGAATGAGAGATAAACAACGCTTATTTATGAAAGTTACGTGCCTTTCGTGGCGTGCAAAGGGACTTATGCTAAATATTAACAAAAATAAATCATTTTTTTCTCTTCTAACTTATTAAACTGTTATTGTAATATCCACCATCATATATTAGTTTTTGAAATAGCATATCATTCTGTTGTGTTTAAGAAGAAGAAATTATTGTCTTTTGACTTGCCAAGGTATATAAATTATACATTTTCTCACCATAAGTGTGTTAATGTACCAAAGAATTTTGGTGGGCCTATGCCTTTCTTCAGTCCTCTAGTGGGGTTGAGGGACACTCGGGCTTTCTTGGTGGCTAAATTTCAGCGATGTCCTAAGGAGGTGAGAGAGAGAGAACTGGATGCTGGATGTTGATGCTGTGAGAGAAATGAATAGAACCATGCATGGAGCAAGGGGCTCTGAGGCAGAAGCCCTTGTCACTATAGTGGCTCGTTTAAGCAAATCAATCTTGAAATTCATGTGTTCTTTTTTTTTAGTCTTAATCGGATCGCTCGTTGGAGTTTAATGAGTTTTGATACCATATTAAGATTTGAAGGTCTATCTTAAAATGTCAACATTTTTAAGAGAAGTGGCTTAATCGATTATATGTTAGTCTATATTTTCATCTTTATTCGATATGGGGTGTATCCCTCACCGTATTGAGAATTTGGACACTGCTCTTTTTCAATGAATTCTTCGCACACTTTTTCATTGATGATTGGTATAGGTTATATACAATGTTTACAATTCTATTTGAAGTAAATACACCAGTGTTAAGGCTACAATCGATAATCTTTCTTCAGTTACACAACTGAACTGGCAGCCATGATTTTAGCCTAGAGATCATTTCACTTTTCTTGTACTTAATTTGTGCAATCTTCCTTAATAGAAGCTAGACACTAACGCAACTATCATAGGGGGGTCGGGGGTTGGTGGGAGTAGGGGCTATGGTGGGGAAAGAGGCTCAAAGCTGGTGCCAGGGGGTTATTCGGTATAGTGTGGAGCCTTACGGTAAAGTTGGTTCGAGTATAAGGCTACTTAGACGGTCGTTTATGGCTCCATACTTGACAAGGCTCAAAATTTCCGAAAATTACATATTTATACCTTTAAGTTTTCTTTTTATTAATTAATAATTTGATCTTCCAACTTTTTTTTCATTTATTTTTTTCTTGAAAATCTAATAGACTTTTAGATTGTTAGCTACCATCAAACCAATAAATCAAAAATATAAAAATACATCGTGTTTTTAGGTTACAACTTACACTCTAATCATACTTTTTTCGTTTGATAAATTTAATTCACCTGCAAAATTTCAACTCTAATAAATAATAAATAAAAAAATAAAGAAAGATTAAACTTCCATATCGAGAGTGAGAGACCATAGCATTATCGATGATTCTTGAAAGTACGAGAACCTTTGTCGATTACGCAGACTACTTCTCTATTGAAGATGACAATGATGTAAGCAATTGGTGATGGATTGATGATAGCCGGTGATAAGCATCAACATTTCTATCTGAAATTACCGATAAATTTTTTTTTTCCATCGTATTACTTTTAATAATGTCGTTGTCAATCCTCGACATAACTTTTTCATGATAGTGGCTCTTTTGAGCAAATCAATCTTGAAATCCATGTGTTCTTTTTTTTTTTTAAGTCTTAATAGGATCTCTCGTTGGAGTTTAATGAGTTTTGATACCATATTAAGATTTGAAGATCTATCTTAAAATGTCAACATTTTTAAGGGAAGTAGCTTAATCTATTATATGTTAGTCTATATTTTCATCTTTATTCGATATGGGATGTATCCCTTACCGTATTGAGAATTTGGACACTGCTCTTTGTCAATGAATTCTTCGACACTTTTTCATTGATGATTGGTATAGGTTATATACAATGTTTACAATTCTTTTTGAAGTAAATACACCAGTGTTATGGATACAATCTCTAATCTTTCTTCAGTTACACTACTGAACTGGCAGCCATGATTTTAGCCTAGAGATCATTTCATTTTTCTTGTACTTAATTTGTGCAATCTTCCTTAATAGAAGCTAACCACTAACGCAACTATCATAGATTCATAGGGGGGTCGGGGGTTGGTGGGAGTAGGGGCTATGGTGAGGACAGAGGTGGGTCTGGTGGTGCTAGAATCTCAACGCTGGTGCCAGGGGGTTATTCGGTATAGTGTGGAGCCTTACGGTAAAGTTGGTTCGAGTATAAGGCTACTTAGACGGTCGTTTATGGCCCCATACTTGACGAGGCTCAAAATTTCTGAAAATTACATATTTATACCTTTTAAGTTTTCTTTTTATTAATTAATAATTTGATCTTCCAACTTTTTTTTCATTTATTTTTTTCTTGAAAATCTAATAGACTTTTAGATTGTTAGCTACCATCAAACCAACAAAGCAAAAATATAAAAATACATCGTGTTTTTAGGTTACAACTTACACTCTAATCATACTTTTTTCTTTTGATAAATTTAATTCACCTGCAAAATTTCAACTCTAATAAATAATAAATAAAAAAAATAAAGAAAGATTAAACTTCCATATCGAGAGTGAGAGACCATAGCATTATCGATGATTCTTGAAAGTACGAGATCCTTTGTCGATTACACAGACTACTTCTCTGTTGAAGATGACAATGATGTAAGCAATTGGTGATGGATTGATGATAGCTGGTGATAAGCATCAACATTTCTATCTGAAATTACCGATAAATTTTTTTTTTCCATCGTATTACTTTTAATAATGTCGTCCAGTTAGGAGCTGTATTGAAAAAGTTTGATTAGTTGTTATATTTAAATTTTTATTATCATCTTTTAAAAGGTCCCATAAAATGTTTTGTCTATGGACCTTAAATTATTTGAGTCTGTCTATGCTTGTGGGAATGATAGAATTTTACCATGTCCGAAGGCCTTCAAGTAGGCTTTGCAAAAAAGCAATTCTCATTAGGTGGTTCAAAGCCTAAAGTATAATTGTTGCTTTGCTCTAAACGGGGTTGTCGTGTCTGAAATTATGTCACTGATGCACCATGTTTGGTGCATGTCTTACAATGGCAATAGAATAGCTCGTACTTTAATTTTGATAGCTTATGTAATGAAGTCTCAGCCCAATATGTTAGATTATATTTCGCGCTTTGTTTCGTCCACCGTTGATAGCAATATTGACAAATTCGTTGTTCTTCTTAGGGCTGGGCAAAATGTCCGAACCGAAACCCGAACCGAACCGAGCGGGTTTTTTAAATGAAATACTCGAACGGGTATCCGAATCGAAAATCGAATAGTTTGGTTCGATTCGGTTCTCGGTTCTAGACCCATAACCGAATAAGAACCGAATTTTTTTTTATATTGGATAAATCAATTTCTTTTATTTTTTCTAAATTAATTAATAATTTTTTTTATTAAATCTTATTAGTTGAACAATTTAGAGTTTATTTATATTTGTTAGTTGTGTTTTTTTCAATTTTTTCTTGTATAGTCTTTTAGTAGTTAGTATGAAAAGTCAAGCAACTGATTATTACATTAAATAGTTGGTAAGTATTATCAATACTTTAAAATATTTTATCTTTATTACTTCTAATTTATATTTCATTTTTATGTAGACTTGAATATTTGAAGCAAATAAATTATTGATATGAATTATCGAAATTTTATTAGTAATATTTACTTTTTCGTATTTATATTTGACAACTTATTATTTATATATTATTAAATTAGATTACGTTAATTTGTAAAAGTTAAGATTGAACTTTGTATTTATATCTACTTTTTGTTATTAATATTGGTATCTACTTTCAGGTGTATTTATGTAGTATTATTTTAAATTTAAAAAATTTAATTATAGTACGGAATCGAACGGAACGGAATCGAACCCGAACGGTTCCAAAATTATATTTGGAACAGACGATTCCATTTACTAAATACCCTAAAATTTCTAGAACCGAAGAAAATCGAACCTAACCGAACCGACTCGCGCCCACCCTTAATTCTTCTACTTTTGAAAAATACTAGCAAATGTGGGGTCCACTTGATCAGACTGAATAAATTTAGAGATGCCCATCTTTTCAATGGACATAGTGGAAACGGATTCATTTTAGTTTGTTTTCATTTGAAAGGCGTAATTAGGTTAAGAACTTGTTTGGGAAGAATTTTTGGGGAAATAATTGATTTTTGAATAGTGATATGATGGGAAATATATGGTTGAAAAAGAAGAAAAAATTATTGATGTGATGGAAAATATCAAATCAAAAAAAAAATAATATTAAAT